CCTGAACTTGGAATATGATGTCGAAGTGGCAGCGCCCTTTGTCATCGCCCACTGCCGGCTTCCCGGAAGTTATGGTGATTTGGCAACTTGGTCTGAGTTTGAACCTCCAGCTTTTTTATCCTGGTGTGGTGCTCTTGTCTTGTTGTACGTGGCGTTGTGTTGCTGCTGTATGTTCCTGCGTTTTCTTTCAAAACGAGTCGGTCAACTGCTGGACAGCCTGAGTCAGCATCCTTTTCTTGCGCCCGAAGCCCCGCGAAATATGTCTCGTTTTGCTCGTCCTGCGGGCACCTATTCGATGCAGCCGCTTGGTACCGGCCGTCATGCGACGAATATGGATAACATACTACTCACTGCTCGCGACCAACAAGTCTTCGAGAGTGCTATGGCTATGGAACAGTTTGGAACCAGAATCTGAGCTCTGTGGTCTTGAGAAGCAGCCCGGGATCTAGCCGTTGAGATCTTTGTTCTCAATCGAAGCCTGCAGAAGGAGACCACGTCAAAATGTGACAGTGAGCGCCAATCGCTGAGCATCAAGAGACACTATATAGTCCGCAAGAGGAGCGCCGCAGGCTTCGGCTTTGTTGGCCGTGTTTCGATTCTTTTGTTGGTCCACTTTTTGTTTGACTTCCCAACGGTGTGGAACGACATCTGGCGGCAAGTTGTGTCACACAGGCACACGGCAAACAGGGATCAGCGGAGGCTGTCGGAAGTTCCGTAGTTCGTGAGCCAAGTCAGATAAAATTCCAGGAGCGTGCAGGCGGTTTCCGTCAAGACTGTACAAAGTCTGCAGTGCAGGAAAGTCATTGCTGTCAGGTATGGGCCGTGAAAGCCCGGGCTTTCTGGACAGTGTTCCCGGAGCCTGGGGAGTTCTTGGCCTGGCTGGAAGAGTTTGAGTCGAGGCATTTGGACTAAGAAAGGTGGCGGCCAGGTTCGAGTTTCTGATGTGTGCAGGACGGCCGCGCTGCTCTCGCACCATGTCGTCCTGAGCCATGGCTTTGCCCCGGTGGCACCAGCCATAGAGACCCATGCTGGGGCTGCCGTGGCTGGATACAGGCGGGACTCAGCGGACACTGCAAAAAATGGCTACCCTGCCGAAGCTCGGCTGCATGCTCCTGATCTTCGAGCTGGAGGGAGTTCTTGTGACTCGCGACTCGCTTGCGTAGCGATGGCATTATATGGATCCTTTCTGCTTCATCCTTCGGGGTTTCCTTCCAGAGCTTGCCACAGCTTGGCTTAGGTGCTCGGAAGCTCCAGCTCCGCCCCAACGTGGAAGCCTTCTTCTTGTCGTTGGCTTCTCTGGCAGATCCCCCAGAGGCATGGGGATCGTCGGAGTACTGTCAGTTTGAGAGTTCGGAAGTTCGGAAGTTGCTGAGTTCGAACTCGCGCGCGCTACTTGCAGGTGGTTATCGCAAGTGACCAAAGCCAAGTCGGGTTGCGGTTGTGGCTGGAGAGCTTTGCCGCAGGCACATGGCATCACTGGCATCGCTATCTCTAGCATGACTGCTGTGCAGTCTAAGACTTGCTGGTGTCCTCATGTTGAATTAGTCCAGACATGCGACGGGGCGTACGCTGGCTTCCAGGCGATCCTGGCATTGCCACGAAGCCCACGGAGGCTGAGGCAAAAAGCCGAGTTCAGGGCGCCATAGCCCTACTGGAAGAGGCCAGCGCTGAAGTTAGCGAATCAGACCTTGGGACGCACGACCTTGATGGTTTCTGCTGTGCTGCAGGTCATGAAGCGGGCGTCTTCTGAAGAACGCAGCGAACCAGCGGAGCCTGCTCAGGAAATTAGAAGCAAACTTGCGGTTAGGTTTTCAAACTTCAGTCCCGGTGCAGATGGAGATGCCGTGCTGCACCACTGCACGCACTTAAGAACGCACCGTGATGATAGATGCAAAGCTTGGAGTCAGTGTCGAGGGGGAGTTCCCTACAATCATACAATCATTAACATTTTGGAAGCGAGCAAAGGAGTAGACTTGAATAGGCTAATTTCAGTTTCTTTGACAGTGCAGCCGCTGACCTAAGACGCGAGACCCCGCACGTTGCAGGGATGGGTGATGAACGGGAGACTTAGTGCCGTCTCGTTCCTTCTTCCTGGGCTCTATTAGATTGTAGGGTTTAGGGTGGCGACTCAGCTTCGCAGAGCGGCAGGGACATCAGAGCGCTTTCGGATTCCAAACAACAGAGCACGCTAGCTGACCTGCAAGAAAATTCTTTGCATCACGGCTACACAAACACATTCACGCCACATCTCCGTTGCAGAACAACGTGTCAAGCATAGTTGCCGTGCCCAATCTTCTGTTCTCATGCACTGCTGGCATTGCTGAAGGCAGAAGCTCAAGCAATAGGCTAGTTATCCTGCCAGCCACAAGACCAGCTGCGGGCATCTTGCAGTGACATGCCAATTCTTTCGAGCAGGAGTTTTTGCTGTACGTATTATCCAGTATTCACCGTAGACTCTGGCTGTATTTCAACTGGTTCGAGTAGCTCCAAGCCTACCCAGACATACGAGACACTCAGCGAGTCGCTTCGGAGTCGCTTAGCCATGGGCACCTGCCATGTCAGCCCTACCAGCGATGTTTTGGACCGCGAGAGGCTTCGGAGCTATGCCTCTGTGCTGGCCCCCGAGGCCATCCTATCTCCCTGCATTCCCGAATGTGAATGCCAGAAGGCAGAGCTGAAACAGAGAAGCTTGTTGGAAGCTTTGGAGGGCGGATGGTTCCGCAAAAAGGATGGCAAGCCTGTCGGTGAGCTTGTGGAAGGGCGCCTGATTTGGAATAGAATTTGGGGCTTTGATGAGGCGTATGTAAGCATCTATGAAGATGATTCCCGGACGCTGTCCATGTACATGCAGGGCTCGCGATTTATTGGACGAGTTTCCTTCGAAGCACAAGCATCCATTGTATGGAGTGACGGCGATGTATGGATCAGAAAGTGACTGCTGCTTGAGGAGGTGGCTTGGTCAGGTAGAGCATGGAATGCTTCAAGCAGTTCACGTTTTCTCCATCGTTTTTGGGGAGTTAGTTGGCTTGCTGAGCCGCCGCATCACTAGCACTTAGCTGCAGCCGGAGCCTGTTTCACAATGCTGCTGAAATCTAGCAGCCCAGGCCAGCGCAGCAAAAGGTAACGACCTGTGGCTGCCCTGAGAAAGAAGAAGTGAACTGTCTGACAATATGATTCAAGCTAAGGAGAAGTCGCTGAGCTGGAGGCCGTTTCGGTCGCTTCTGAGCTTTCGCTACCGGGCACGTGCCTCCGGCCGCTGGGGCCTGGCACCTTCGGGCCGCGATGAGGAGGGCAGCTGGCGAAAGGAGACAGAGGGCGAAGATGTTTAGGTTGAGCTGTGCAGCGCTTTGCTCTCTGCAGGTCTTGGTCTTAGGCTTGGACTGTCGTGTCGGTGTCTTTGAGACCCAGTGCAGGACTGGGTAAAACCGGCACCAGGCCTGATGCGTGCGTGAGGGTGCTTGCGGGATAATGCCGCTTTACCCGGATACGTGTTCATGCTCAGTCCAAACGGCCCGGAGGCATGATCAAGCAGGCCATGGCAGATGTAGGCTCCTTTGCGGCAGGGGCGCCATGCCGTGTGTTTAAACTGCAAGTCCAGCTTTATTGCCTATTGCTATTGAAGTATGGGGTGCCGAGCTTTGCCCTATGTGTGCGCTTGTTTCTTGCTGCTTGCGCTTCCTCGGGCACGCATTTCTTTGGCAGGAGAGCATGTCTGCAACACACAGAGAAGGGTGTCCCAAGACAGTCCAAGCCTGGCCTTGCAATGGCCCTACTATGCCTTGCTCGTGACGTGGAGGGTGTCGTTTCCTAGATGGAAATCCGGAAATTTATTGTCCCGTCATTTTCAGTGACCAATCGGCGTATGCCCTTTCCATAATTTGCCGCTGCTTTGCTTGCCGCTTTTTGAGTCACTTGCATCCACTACTGGCCCTTTCGGTTTTCACAGAAGCGCAGCGCCATTTCGCCATTGATGCGCTTGCCGTGTGTCAGAGCCGGAGTTCCAAGGTGTGCCATGCTCGAAGACTGTTGTCATCGGAGCAGAGCGTACAGAAGCCTGTGGCTGCACATCAGACGTGTGGATTGCCACTGTTGATAGGGTATGATGGGGTCCCGTCGGTCCCGTTGACTCACGACGCCCTCTCACCCGTTCAGAAGCTTGCGGTATTCATACTCTGAGGACCAGGATGCGGCGAAGGCAGCTGGTGCAAGCTTTGTTTGGGCTGCGGATCTATTTGGTGGGATGGCCGGCAAAAGAGCTGCAGCACAGGCCACGACCCTGCTTGATGCACAAGACCGGTGCAGCTGAGCTAGCTTCGCTTTCTTCAACTGTACTGTAGAGAGACAGGCTTCCTCGCCGTCTGCAGCCAGCACTTCCGGCAGGGCCTCCGCGCACCAACAGACGCACCATGAAGGCGTGAAATGTACGTCTTCACGGCCGCAGACCGCGGCTCTCAGACGTGCCTTGTTCATTCCTCACGGCCCGCTCCCTTGCACCAGAAAACGTTGGCTTCGCAGGACAGCCTGCTCATGCTTGGAAGTCTGGAGCCTTTCGATCGGCATTCATCAGTATGCACTGAAAATGAAGTAAGTCCGATCGCGATCTCCTTTGCTTCTCTTCAAGAATTCACGCCAAGGTCCTTCTGCATGGCCGGGGGGGATCTTGTGACATTGAAGGACAGGCGAAGCGAGTTGGCACGCCAAGTGGCCTGGTTGTGCTGCAGCATGAACTTGTGATTCTGAGAGTCTTTGCGACTTGGCACTGGCACGATCACTGGGCATGCATTGATAGCCGCCGCAGGAACTATTGACCTTGATGGAGATTCTGATCTGGACGATGCTGTGCCGGAAAAGATGCGTGCGATGCTTCGGGGGTATAGATAATTTGCAGGAGGTCGAGCAATACTGTATGTCGAGGAAAACAACTTTCGCCAGTACAAGATAGATGCAATACCAATCAATACCATGCCAAACCGCCCTCTCGTGCCGTACTGGCTGCGCAGGCTTGGGAGCTTTGTCCGGAGGATGTGGTGGGCTGGACGAGGTGCTGGTCAGCCCTGTTGATAGTTTCTAGACACAACTCCCAATTCTTTGCAGGATGACATTTCGGACAGCTTGGTCCTTACTTGTTTCGCTGGCATACCGAGGATGCGTGTTTTGTTTGTGCTCTCACCCAGCGGTTAAATGTCGCGCAGTTGCCGGATCTAAGCTACGAGCCGTCTTGGCGCCGCCATGGCTTGTTCTTGGATGGCGCTTTATCAACTGGCGTAGCATGGCGAAGCTGTGAGCATGGGGAAAGACTCGACGACGTGGGCATGGCCAGTGTTGCTCGCGTCATGGTCGCATCGTGGACAGATTTCAATGCTTCATCGCTGGCTCCTTCAAGTGGTCTTACCTAGTGCACTGCCCAGGTGCTGCTTTTGTTCAACCTGGTAGACGGTTCGGATGGTGGACTCAGCCAGCTGCACGTGATCGGCGCCGGAATGCCTCGAACGGGTGGCTTCAGCTGCAGTCGCAGTGCTTTTTTTGCTTTGCTGCCCGAGCTGCCCTGTGAGCAGTCACCGTAGTAGGAGGGGTATTGAGGAGATGGCGAGCGCAACATAAGCGACTTCGATAGGTTGTTTGTTGCATTGTTGGGTTGCAGCTGGTTGTGGCATGCCGTGGCCAGCCAAGTCATGAAACCGCAAGCCATGACCTGCCTTCAACCAGGCACCACCAGCTTGCGTGCAGCGCTGCACAAACTTGGTTTCCGGGCTTTCCATATGCAGGACTGTGCTCCTACACACTGAGCTGTCTAGTCTGCCCAGTGTGTACATTCGGCGGCAATGTGAGGACATCATGGCATCTGGCCGGCATTCAAGAGCGTGGCTGGATTTTGTCACGGATCAAAGCAGCTTTGATGACTTGATAGTGGCTTGGCTGGGACACGAGCAGCTTTTCTCAGTCCACGCGAAGTTGGCACAGCAGTGGTAGGGAGTAAAGTTTGAACTAGAAGTGGCAAGTGGTGGCCACGACGACGACAACGCTAAGGCTGGCCAAAGAAGCACAGCCAACAGCAGGGCAGATGCCCAAAACTGAAAGACATGTTGAACCCTGCCTCAGAATTGGGCCTCATTTCTGGATGCTGTCGAACCACTGCAGGAACACGTCCTCAGATCTGAGTTCAACGCGACGGTCGATGCTCCCTTCAACCATTTCGTGGATCAACTGGTGCAACGGTTTCCGCTTGCACCACATTTGCATGGAGCTTCGAGCGTTTGCGGTTGAAAGCCGGGTACAGAGTCAAAGCTAGGCTTTCCTCAGCTGAACCAAGGCAAAGGTGATCCTCACGGTTCGTGAGAGTAAAGACTGGGCCCAAAGTATGGCCAAGTTCAATTTCTTCATGGAGGCCACACGGCAGCGTCCCTTCAGTTGGGTTGAGCCCTTCCGCTCCCTCGAGCTGCTGGCACAGCGATTGCCGAGGAGTCCCATTTGTGGATGTTTGCTTCTCACGCTTACCCGACTAACAGCATTGAAGTGACATCACAAGTTGGCGCCATGAGTTTCGATACTGCTAGCCCTTTTGAAAGAAGCATTGTATCGGCAGGGGTTTTACAGCGACACATGTTGCACTAGGTGTGGGGAGAACGACTGGTACGGTGAGGGACGACATGTGCAGGAGATCTAGTATTGGTGATGCGAGATTGCCTTTCCACCTTCCATGAGTGAGTTCGCAGAAACTCATACACCTATTCTCCACACCCTCGACCTGCATTGAGAAATAATGCGCGACGAGGGCGAAATTCGATGAAGGGCTGCCTGGTGTAGCTGTTCGGGGAGAATTAGGCCTGAATCCTCAAACTTCGGCCAGGAAGATCAAGATGAAGCCGCGGGTCATCCGGCACATCGGGGAGTTCGAAGACGAGTATCTCGCTCGTGCCTGTGCTGGAAAAGTTGCTATGGGTATATATATATATATATATAGTCTGCATAGTATGCTATTGTGGGTTCAGATGCTGAGCAGTGTGAAAAGAAGATACAGAATTCCTGATGCCTATGACAGTCCGATTCGTCGTCTAGGTTTCCTGCACCTTGGGCCATGCCACGAACATCACGATGCTCAATCCCTCTCGGCTTGATTCTCCGGTCAACGTTGCGCTGAAAACTCCAAAACCGTCAGAAAAAATTGAACAGGTTTTCGGCACCCCGACGCGACTGCCACGATTCCACGGTTCCTCAAGCCTGACCTAAAACCCCAAAGCCCTAGACCTCATGACGCGGGCTCTATATGTTATGTGCTGTCGATGTGTGAAATCGCTGTACCTTCTGGCCCCAGCAACTTGTTTTGAACTATATGGCTGCGGGCTTGAGGGCTTATTGATTTTGTGTACTCTCTGTGTTTGTGCGTGCGTGTTTTGGTTGTGGGCTTCCGGGACCTAGTTTTGGTCATGCGTTACCCAGACTTGTGTGAAGCCTTGCCTGCCTTGCGAGTTGTGAGTCGAAAGAGAGCTGATCTGTGAATTGATGAGAAGTGCGGCCAAGCAAGAGGGAGGGAGGGTGAGGACATTAATTCATCACATACTGCAAGCATTAACGGGCAAATTTGGCATATGTACATGCAGCTGCGAACTAAAGTAGATGCGCAGGGCGCGTACAGATAAATCGGCCTTGTTGGATTTCGTCATTTTGGCTCCTAAGCAACCTCGCTGTGAGCTTCGATCTCTGCAAGGCGAGAGGAAAAGACGGCATCGTGAAAAATAAACCAGCATCACGGGTCAGCTGGGCGGGAAGCACCAGTCCCGACTCAAATACCAGTGGCAGGCCAGACCAGTTGCGAGCATTCGCCATGGATTTGCCAAGGAAGAAGCGCTCACCTGGAAACCATTGGACAAACGACAAGATAATGGGCCTGTGGTCCTCCATTAGCTTCCCTGTGGTCGTGGCTTCTTGCTCATGAGACCCTCAAACTTTTTGATAGCAAGGATTGCGTAGTGATAGTGACGCCCCTGGTACGAGAAGAAGTCATCCATTTGGAGGAGGACGACGAGCTGCAGCAGGGTGGTGATAGTGGCTGTCATCGACTGTAGCAGTATGTAGTGGTAGACTGGTAGAAGTGGCAGTCAGTTGACAATTTGTGTGAGCAATACATGCGAAGCATGAGCTTGTTATGCCGCACAAATGCAGTCATCCATGTCACAGCCGTGGGAGCCTCAGACTTTTCTTGTCTCAGCAACTTGCTGCTGCAGAGGCAGCTCAAAGGAAGGCTGATGCAGTTACGAAAAGCCTGGCATCAGCTCAAAAAGACATCCTTGCCAAAGCCGCTGCTGCGGCAGCAAAGCCGAACGAGAGCGATCAGACAGGTGAGAAGCAGCTCACAAACAAGCAAAAGAAAGCGCAGAACTGGTTCCTGAAACAGAAGGAGCGGCGAGAGCAGCAGTGGAACCGTGACAAGCAGAGAAGATCTTCCTGACGTGGTGACACTGTGGAGCTGGCTGGGTCCACCCTGGAGCCAATTCCGCCATCTGTGGCGGATCTACCGGGGGTGGGCACGATAGCAGAAGCTGCTGGCCAAGATACGTTTCTTGAGATTTTCTCAGGTGACTGCGTATTGACGTTGGCCATGTCGTTGACAGATCTACAGACTATCCTTCCGTGGGACCTGCGTTTCGGAGCAGAGTTTGATGTGTTGGAACATGGTGAATTGATTTTACAAAAGTCGGAAGCAGGTGCGCTGTCTTGGGTGCATCTGGGAACTCCTTGTCGAACCTTGACATGGGCTAGGCGGCCTCAGTTACGAAGTACTGTGAGCCCGTTTGGCCTGTCAGAGCTGTCCAGGCGCCAGCTAAAGCTTGTTGCCTTTGGCAACGAGCTGGCGTTGTTTTCCCTGAAGGTGTGCCAGTGCCAGGTCAAAAGCGGCAATTTCTTTTCAATTGAGAATCCTGAGCTGTCGTGGTTGTGGATCCTCCCTCCAATGATTCAGCTGAGAAGGAGTCAGGGAGTAGGTACGGTGAGGGTCTTGTTTTCTGACTTCCAGGTACCTTTCCGCAAGCCTACAGTGTTCGTGCATAACTCTGCGTGTTTGCACGAGTTGGCGAAGGGTGTGTCGTCTTGGCACGGTCGCACGGTCAAGTTGCGAGGTCTGGCCAAGTACGATGGAAAGCTTCAGTTTCGGACCCGATTGGCTCAATCTTATCCGCCTCTCCTTTGCATCAAGTTGGCAGGTCTTGTGAGGCAGACCTTAGTGGATAAGCGAGAGCGTGGAGGTTGGGATGCGTGGTCGCCTTGCGTGGATGCGTTGTCATCGCAGCTTCCAGACAGTTTGCGCATTGCTGAGGCGGAAGTTGTTGCGAACTGTTGTGGCGATTGGATGTTCGTCCCGCATGGCTTGGGAGCAATGAAGGGCTTGTCACCACTTGAGCATGTTGCTTTTTCGTTGTCTGCATCCCACCCGTCTGAGAGTCGGAAGCAGCTTGAACCGACGCTAAAGGATGCAATTGTGTTTGAGTGTGGGCATGAAGTTGGTGAAATTGATGCATTTCGTTGCGCTAGTCTCAGTAAGTTCTTGAGGCTACACGCAAGCTTGCAGCAGGAACACCTTGACTGGGTGCGGCAGGCCCCAGCTGAGTTGCAAGGGCATGCTGCAAAGATACATGGCCCGCTGTGGAAGGTTGTGTTGCAACAGTGTGGCATGCCTTGTGACCAGTTCTTGCATGATTTGCAGTGTGGTTTTCCTCTCGTTGGTCATTTGGCTTCATGTGAAGGTGAAAGCATCGCATGCCAGTTTGATGCCGCAATTACTGTTGACGAGCTTGTGAACAGTCGGCGTGTTATCAATGAGAGGGTGATAGCTTCTGTGCGTGAGTTGCCTTTTTCCAGTGATATTTTGAGCCAAACACTGCATGATTCTGAGCAAGGATTTATGTCGACACCACGAGCTTTTGCTCCTGATGATGCTTCGCATCTGTCCTTGACGAGAAGGATCCCTGTCAGGGAGGAGCGCTCGAAAGGGTGGAGGACCAGGGTAGTTGACCACAGCACTGAGAGTATGGTCAATGCTGCCACCGTTCCTTGCGACAGAATCAAACATCACACGTTGGATGATTTAGCGGACATGGTCATGTGCTTCTTTGAAAG